ACATATTATTAGCTAAAGTAGCGCGAGTGCCTTGGCCCGATGTACTCGAGACCACGTTCGCGAGCCGCGCACGTATAGGGCGGACGCCTACCTCGGCTCATATGTAGTATGTTACGACTCAGAATAAGGCGTATAACGCCGACAGAGTGAAGACCCCATCGTGCGTCATCACGCCGGAGCGTCGCCGGCCGCAGACCCGCGACACATCGTCACGTACGACACCCCCGCGGACACCCGACTGACCGGCCGACAGCTTCATACGCTAGAGCTATGTGTACTCTCCACCGGCCCGCCCGCCCGGCCACGACGCGGCGCGCCGCACCCACCGACATATACCGCTACGAAGCCCCCCCGCTTCCCGCCCACGCCGGGACCCATATGCCCGCCGCCCGAGGCCGCGCCGCGGCGCGCCGGACCACAGTGGGGCGACAGACGGGGGGCAGGGTGGGTCTTGCCTTTGGGCCGGTGCTGTGGAGACAACAACCGCAAGCCCCACCCGCCCTGCGGAGCCCTATGTCTGTACCGCGCCGCATCACGCCTTCTCCGAGAACTAGCGCGACATCCGGCTCCCACCCCGTTGTCTTCGACCTACGTGACAAGACCGGACCCCCAGGAGGACCGGCGAGCGCCGAGCGGGCGGGCGCCCGGGGCGCGGCGGAGCGCAGCGCAGGCCGCGCACGAGTCGGCGAGCCCCAGCACAGACCGCCCCCCCCGACGCACACAGCACCGCCAGCACTCCCCCCCGGCCCGCCTGAATCCGATCAACCGCGGCCGGCGCGCCCCCACGCATTCACGGCCCGACGAACCGGCCATCCAACCCTACACCCACCACCCCACCCTCAGGCCGCCCCGCAACCAGACATCCACAGCACGAAACTCGCCCCCCACCCACCCCCCAGCGTACCAGGGGCCACAAACCCCGCCCCCATACCGCACGCATCCGACGTCCCAAAACAGACACCACTCCACAGTTTATTGAACTCCGTATGCAAGACGACCGCCCGAGAAGGAGACGCCACCCCCACCGCCCCCACCCCGGAAGACGGGCACGAATATTATCACACCCAGCCATATTGACAACAAACAGCCAAACAGAGCAAAGACACACACTCGAGCCAAAAGAAACACAGACTGTCCACCCCACACACTCAACCAAGAACGAACAACCCCACAAAACATACGCATGTGAAGAGAAGAGAGGGAGAGAGAGAGAGGAACACACACAACAGCAACAGGACACACCACACCGAAACACTACAAACACACTTCACTACAACCCAAAAAAAAAAAAAAACACACCCCGAACGAAAGCGAAGAGCCCCGCCCAGCCCCATGAGTAGATCCCCCGCCCCAGCCAGCACCGCCACCCCCCACACACACCCCACCCGCCCCCCCCCCAGCCCCCAGAGACACACCACACACCCCCCACCACCCCACCACACACAGCACGCCCCACGAACGAGAACGACCCACCCGACCGCACGAGAGCAGAAGAGAGAGGAGACAGAGAAGAGTATATTATTCCAAGCCACACACAACACACAGAGGGGAAGATTGTATATTATTTTAACCCCACGATATCCGCACATATAATCCAACGACAAACACACAACACACAAACAATAGGTACAAACACAAACAGGCGTGAACAATCTTTGCAAACAACAGAAATGTGGACATGGGTGGGACACCGCCCCAACCACACACACACCCCCACCAACAAACAACACGCCCAACACTCTTGTGACACGCGGGGGATAACCCCAAGCACCACCACCCCAGCAAGGCAGCCCACACACCACCCCACCCCCCACGCACAACCACCCCCCCGCCCACTGCAATGTAGGCATATCTTGTTTTCTTACTGGGTTACGGAGGAGTGCGGTGAGGTAACACACACAACGCCACAACACGATAAAACGCAGGGGACGCGGTGGGAGGTGGTGTGAGCGGTGTGGCGAACACACAACACCACACAACTCACACCACACCACACGTACCCCCAATCCTACGCCGGCCGAAACCCTGCCTGAGAGCTCCACCCAACCCCAACCCACCGCACCAACCCCCATCCTCGCCGAGAGAGAGTGAGAGGGGGGTACTCGCCCACACACACCCACCGCGCAGCACCACCCCCCCCCACACCACAGCAGGCAGGCGCCGACGGCACACCGCGCGCAACGCCGCCCGGACGCCGCACCCGGCCGGCGCCGGGCGACGCCATCGTGGACACTTCCAGGCGCGACCCAAACATGAAGGAGCACGTTCCAGACCACCACCCCACGGACAGCACACTCCCCGCCGCCCCCCCCGGCCCCCTTTGACATCTCGACTCTGAAAAAATCTGCAGCCCTCTCCCATCAGTAGCGTATGATACAACTCTATCATGCTTCATCCGGTGGGCATTAGTATAACTCTTTTACACATTTCATTCGGCGCCCCAACCTCGCCCCTCGGCGCACGCAGTGTGTTAACCCGGCCCGGCCCCTCGTTACCGCTTACCACTTCGCGAGCAATCTGCGATCCTCTTATGGCCACGCAGTCCCGAGAAGTCTGAAACGCACCAGGCCGGCTGCCGATGAATGCCACGCCGATCCCCTAGCCAGTGCGGCGGGCCAGGTGCCAACTGTGACCACGTGACACGCGCACTTGTTACAGACTCTGTCCACATTGCTATCAACCTCACACCCGCGAGCCTTCCCACCTGGCACACTCACGACACCGGGGCGCCCCGCCCGCCCCCGCCCCCGCCGCACCGCCAGCGCGGCCGCGCACGCATCGGCCCGCCACCCGCGGCGACGCGCCCGCCACCCACCGCACACCCCCACACCGACGCGATAACTACGCGCCCCGCCGCCCCGTGTATCAGACATCGCTACGTAGCCTACATCATCGATAGTACTACGTTATCGACGTATAAGCTATAACCCCTCGATGTATGCAGATCATCGTACGTAGACCTACTCCTCGTAGTATGTTCAACGCGGGTACCACGCGTCGGGGAGCCCGAATATATACGCTAAACCCCGTGTATGTCAGAAATCGCTATCGTAAGGCCTACCTCAGTGTTAACGATTATGTTACTCGGACGCACAGCGCGCACACAGACCGTAAGTCAGGCTAGAACCCCCGGTATCAGACAATCGTTACGGTAGGCCTGAGCTCCATGTAGTAGTTACACTGAAGCAAGACACCGCGACCAATACTAATGAGCCGCTACTAACACCGCGAGAGTTCTCTCACAACACCACAACCCGGCCAGCGGGAAGACGCGGCGGAGCACGAGGCCCCGCGAAAGCGACGAGACCGAAACACGGCACTATAACACCGGGGAGAAAGATCCCTCCCCAGATAGGCCTACACACGAGGGTACAGCAAGTGAAACCACGTCCGGCCACACGCGCGCGGCCCCCACAGAGCAGTCGAAGTAAGGAATATTGCTCGACGTAACCAGCGTAGCAAAAGTGACCAGAGATCAGATGGCAGCGCACGATCAGAAGCAACCGCACCCTAGCAGACGGTGAGACGAGTCCTGGATACAGCGGGGGTTAGCTATAGTATGTAAATAACAGTCAATGATCAAGTAGTCAGCACCCTAACGTTTACTTATCGTCTCAAACTACACCGGAGGCTTTAGCTATAAGTGATGACCGATTAACACACTACATGAGGTCAGCGCGCTACGTACATGATTTGATTACACGGGGTTAAGCTCATATACCGTCACGTAAAAGCCATACCTACCCAGCAGTAGGCCCTGACGTACGCACCTCGATCACAACGCGCGGTATTACGCCCGTATATATGTCAGGTTCAACATACGAGGGGAGCGAGTGAGCTCTACGGCCCTACGTACGACTGTCTGAATACACGGGGTCCTCTCTCACCTTTATCAATGTCAGTAACATAACTACATGAGTAGGAACTACGTACGATGTCTAGATACACGGGGAGATTTTAGCTAGTATATGTGCAGTAACATACTACATGGAGTAGGCCTTACACGAGCGTCCCTCCGACCTACACCGGGGGAGCAGTTTACTATATATTTCCGAGTATTACATACTCCAATGAGTAGGACTAGCGTAGCGGATTGCTGATAACACGGGAGTTTAGTCTATATCAGTGTCAGTGAACCATACTACCATCGAGTAGCGCCTACTACGATGTCTGATACCACGGGGTTACTACGCTATAATATGTCAGTAACATACTAACAATGAGTAAGGAACTACGTGACGGATGTCTGCATACGGACGCCCGCGTCTTCAGCTACTATTAATGTCAGTCAACATACTCACATGAGTAAGGCTACGTACGATTGTCCTGATACACGGGCTTATACTATACTACGTCAGTAACCATACTACATGAGTAGGCCCTACGTCACGACGAGTCGTCCGCCTGACTCCAACAACTAACGCACGCTCCAGCTCAAGCACAGCGACAGTTCACTGATACACGGTGGTTTAGCTATGATATGCAGCATCAACAATACACTCACACATGAGGTAGGGAGCCGCTAGGGCCAGTAGCGAATGTCTCCGATACACGGGCGTTTAGCTACTATATCTACATCACACACACCAGACACACATTCAAGTGCTTACCACACACATCTTTTCACTATGCCTTCTCTTATGTCGTACATGAGTGAGGCACTAACGACACCACGAGCGTCATCGATACACGGAGCGAGCGATTTCCTAGCTATATAATATGTCAGTAATCAATACTAACATGAGCCTAAATGCACCTAGGCACAAGCCTACGAGAGAGAGCGAGTCGTCGCTCCAACACCCCGGCGTCTCCCTGTATCCCAGCGGCCCGCCTGAACATAACACACACCATCTGCGAGGCCGAAGACGTCTCCTCGGCCCCCGCCACCGCGCCCTCACCGTTCACCGATAGCCTGATTACTATTCTGAAGTACCACGAGAGTTGTTACGTTAGCTATATCATATCGTGACGACTTAACGATCTACGCTAACGAATTGAGTATGGGCACTCTCACGGTACTGAACTGTCTCGGATACACGGGAGCGTTTAGCTTATATAGTCGCGCGCGGCGGCTCTTCCAACACGAACTTCTGGCCGAGATCGGCCGCGTTCTCCGGTATGTCGTCATGTGTATCGTGCGATATATACTGATACTTTAGAAGACTCGAGTGCATGTAATCAGATAATTGTTTTCAAAAAACGTTGTCTAAAAAATCTAGAATAATATGTAAAGATCTGAAATTTTTTCCTTAAAGTGTGAGAGTGACCAATCTTTTCAAAAAAAGAGAATTATGGGCTAATTTTATTGATACAATTTGCGAGCTTTATTTTGATATTATTGTGAAACCATCATTCCTGGCTTTAGAAAGCATCAATACATAATTCCAATTTCCTTAAATAAAAGCAAAGATGCATTGCAGTAGTTATTGATAGATATATTATCTTTGCAAAGTCAGTCTGAGACCGGCGGCGGGCAACGGTTACACCTCCCGTTGTCAATAAATTTCCCACCACACCGCGACGCTACACACAATCACACCTACACTGTGCGGCGCCAGACGCACGACAAAAACCGCGCATTCACACACCACATACGGGCATGGCGCAGCCCACAATACAAACAACGCCCACGCGCTCGCTACACACCCCCACAACACACATACCACAATTTTACATCTGGGCAACTACGTCACCGCGCGACACACGGAGGAACGGCCCCACGCGCGAACAGGGCACGGGCCAGCACCGACGGCCCGCCGAGCGACACACACACACACACGCCGAGCGACACACACACCGACAACACCCATACAGCCATACTCCACACGGGCACAACACCAGCCACATCACCACATACACATACACATACGCAGCCATCACACCATCAGCGAGCCAGGTATCACCATCCCAGCATACAATACACATACACAGTAGGCACCATACACACATACACATACAGGCACCGCCACACATAACATACATCGATACACACTACACATACACATTACACTCCCACAATTACATCATAGCCACACGATTAAACACAAACACATCAATATCGAACGATAGGGACGAGCGTAACGATTGTCTTGATCACGGGACATTTCAGGCTAATATTATGCTCAGTAACAGACTACAGTGAGTAGGCCTACCGTACATGTCTGATACACGGCGGTTCTAGCTATATATGTACATCCACATATACAAAACAATTACCTAACAAACTATTCAGAGTACGGCCACAACTGTACGAAGTCTGACGTACACCGAGGGTTTTACACTCAATAAACTACGAGCACATTATAAATCAACATTGACACATCGACATACGTAGCGACCTGACACGTACGATGTCTGATGTACACGCGTGGTTTTAAGCGTATAATATTGTCACTACACAATTATACCTCACACCACTGAAAGCACAGAGTCACTAACCAGTACAGTAATGTCTGAATAAGCACACAAGGCAGCATATTCACGATCACATACACATCTGATGTCAGTAACATACTACAGTGAGTACGGCCTACCGTAGCGATGTCTGATAGCACGGGGTTTCTATAGATACGCATGCGTCACCACGTGACCACATTAACCAGCTCTGAAGCTAGGCCCTTACGTGAACCGATATCTGATACACGGGTTTTAGCTATATACGACATCAGTAACATACTACATGGAGTAGGATACGTACGGATGTCTGAATACACCGGCGAGTCGTTTAGCTATATATGTCAGTAACCAATACTACATGACTAGGTGCGTGCTACGTACGCCATGTCTGATACACGGGGTTATTAGCCTATATACGTCAGCTCACAATACACTACAACATCGAAAGATATCAGCCCTACCTAACGTACCATACCACATATGTCCATGCGTGATCACAGACGGCGGTGCGTGTTATCGCTCGTATTATTAGTGGGTCAGCTAGATTTGTCACACTTAGACAATTTTACCGCCTACGTACGATGTCTGTACACGGGGCTTTTAGCTATCAATTCTATGGCTCAGGTCACACACTACCTAACATGAGAGCAGTTCAGGCCCCTTGACTGTTACTATTATACTGATACACGGGCAAGTTTAGCTATATTATATGTCCAGTAACATTACTACATGAAGTAGGCCTACGTACAATGATCTGATACACGGGGTTTAGGCTATATTCATGTCAGCATAACATACACTAACATGAGTCACGACCTAGGTCCGTAAACGATCTGTCATAAGCACGGGTTATATGCCTATATAATGTCAGTTAAGCATACCTACATGAGTAGGCTATCGATTACGATTGTCTGCACACACGGGGGTTTAGCGCAATAATATTGAGCTTTTAGTGTATAGGTGTTACCGTGATTACCATCTACGGATGTTAGTGTGGTTCCTATTGTGCGTATGCATGTCTTTGAGTTACAGCCTGTGTGGGCTGATGTGCTGGTGTGTGTGGTTTATGTCTATTATATGATTGTGTGCTCAGGTTGAACATAGACTACGATCAAGCCTGGAGGAGTGCGTGCGCCTACGTACGAGTGTCTGGATACCGTACGGGGGTTTAGCTGATATATGTGCTCAGGTACCAGTACAACATGAAGTAGGCCTACGTACGATGTCTGATACACGGGGGTTTAGCTATCATATGTCAGTAACACAGCTACCCATACCACCTACCGGCACGATGGTTCTGAGAGAGAGCATGGGCTGTGTATTAGATCGCTTTATAGTATGAACGCTCTATACTACACAAAACTCACACTTAAAACTAGTCTCTCGTATCTGAATCAGTTCGCATCGACCCTTAAGTCCTCACTGATCACTATTCTCGATATAACTAGGCTATACTTTTATATTCGCTATTAAGATTAAGACAACCTAACTAGACATATTTTTCCACCACGTCTGACTGTAGAAAAACAATGCAGCACTCAAGACGCAGTTTATACACTATACAATACTGTACAATTTTCACATATCAAGAGGAGTAATTGCGACCATTATCTATGAGACGCTAGCTAATCCTGCGGTGAGCTAGTATGAGCCCTGATACCTTAGGCCGCGGACATAAGCACATATTACGCTGTTCTCCTCCGCAGAGCAGTAATGTCCCAACCTGAGCACGTCCAATTAATATAATGCCGAGGACGATATCGAGCAGAGCCTGGGTATATTCGCGGGCAGCCGCCGAGGAGGCCGCACGACCATGCGTTCACCAAAACACTCCTCTCTCGCCCAGTTCGCGATGCTTCCTACCAGAGTGCATGAGCAAACATAGCACTCATAGCCCGACACTCCGGACCTCAACACGGAGCAGACCGAGAGCACACTGCCCACCTCGCTGTAGTAACAGGTAGTTCTATATACACCGCGTCGCAACTAGTAACACGACTCAAATCCTACCCATGTGGTATTGTGAGTAATGTTGCCGTAGTGTGTGTGTGTGTGTGTGCAATGCTGTGTGTGTGTCGCGCCCGCGCGCTGGCCGTACGGTGGTGCACAATGTCGACGCTGCACGGCGCGCAGATCGCGTGGCCCACGGTCAGCGTACCGCGAGCATACTGACGTAGGCGCATTTGTTAGCAGTGCCAGGTCGCATGCAGCGACGTGGCGGTCGGGCATCGTTGGCTGGCATGTGTGGGTAAGGGGCTCATACATCCGTTCATGCGCCGTCGAGTGTGCCGTGATGCGCTGTCGCGTGCGTTGTGTGTGTGGTGTGGAAATTATGTGTTATATTGTGTGTGGATAGCTTTTTTCAGATATCTTAGCAAAAAAGTGGAAATCTGAAACTACACTCGCGAAGTTCCCCCTCATGTGCCCTACAACCCGGGCACCGCAGTGACATCATCGACTTGATGACGTCCGTGTTGGAACACAGTACAACACCGCACCAGCCAGCCCAACCGGCCCGGCCCTTCACACGCACATCCAACCCGACATCGCTATAGGAAAAACACCACAAGTGAGGCAACCACCAAGTTTTACACATCCGTTATTGCGTCAGAAATGTAGTTCGATTTCCTATACTCAACGAACTAAATCACAAACGCTCGCCTTCAAGATGTGTCTCATTGCGTGCGGGTGTCTAGAACACAGAATATGGCACTGGACTCTCTGCTACCACCCGAATGGTAACTGTAATGCGAAAGAATCTAGAAGATATCGTTGACCAAAGAACGGACAATTGGTGAGGAAAAAAAGAAGGTGGACACACTCTGGCTGCGGACATGAAATTACTCCCACGGAAAGAGTGCACGGCGCGCTATTGCGCTGGCTGCGCTAGCACCGACTATCTAATGTGTACCGTAACACCGCGCGAATCCATATACGATACGTATGCCGCAAGCTGATCGCTACTCGAGACTATAATGTATATAGAAAGGATGCAAGGGTACACATATTCTGACGCGTCGTGCAGAAAATGATTATGCAGTGCATCGTAAATCACAAGCGAGTCAAACACAACACAAATCACTAACCACTGCGAGAGAGGAGCACTAGACCAACATGCAGCTGCCAATGCTTGCACCTGAATCCCGCTCTGCGTGTTGGGTTTGTATCTTCCGTAATATCGTGTGAACAGCGCGCTGAACCTATCCAAGCTCAGCGGCTATAGTCGGACTGGCGGCGAGTCATTGAGCATTGCGTTTCTTATGATCAAAATTATACAGCGCCACAACTAGAATAAGTCCGCACATCGGATTTTTCTCGCATTCGCTGCATGTTGTGATGCGTACACATAGCTCGCTGCGGTTATGGGCGATTTTTCTAAAATCGTGGTGCGGATGCCAGTAGATCCCACTCTATACTAGGAGGAACATCGAAGTGCCGAAGTTTCCATTGCGGCCACCAATAACCCTATTCAATGTATAGAAAATTTAAAATCCTTGTCTCAAACTTACAGTTCATAATAACTTTATTATTGCTTCGTATATGTGTACTCGGTACGTAGAAATTGTGCAATCTTGTTTAAATCACTATGTTATCCTACATTGGCAATTCAAGACTGGCAAACGAACCTACCTAATAAGGATAAATAGCTGCTTTTCGGGGGTTTTCCCCAGATAACATTATTATGTGCGCGGCCTTTTCTACGTGTTTAAAGCTAAACAAACCGCTCGAGGCTATGGAAGATAGTTTTACCTTATGTATGGTCTTGACATAAACTGTGCCTGTGTCGACGAAGCGTTTACCCGCGATGGACGAAAGCCACAACTGAATCATCACGGTTGTTACAACTATAGATCTCATATTATGTGCACATATATTATTGCATACTTCCTTGGCTGACCAGTTCCAACATAGCAGCCGTGTGCGCTGTGCCCTGTGTGTGGTGATTGATGCTATGCGTCGGTAAACAGAGAGCCAGCTAACAGCAACGATCAATATAGTGTATATCAGACTGAGGAAGTCTAATTACGAAAAACACGTGACGATTCTTACCATCGAGCACGATATAGCTCCGATGCTCTGGCATCCGCAATGAGCACCTCATGTGCTAGACAGACAAACCCTTACAGTGATCTGCCCATGGACTAGATAGATCGATTATTTCGATTAATGGGGACTGATTGATTTCGATGAATGGGCACTCGGCAATAGGAGTAGTATGGCATGTAAAAGTAAAAGGTATAAAATGCGAAGTTTATCATTCTTAATCATTATCAAAAAACGCTACCACAAAGGCAGGGGATGCGCATAGCGTAGGATCTGTGATAAGTCCCTGCCATGCGACGGATGGATAAGACGCACGGGCGGAAAACAGTACGGACGACGGACAGACCGGAAGGACGGACGCGGACGGCGACGAGTACACCACGAGTACGCGATACAAGACAGACAGCAGGAGCCATGGATGCATTAGTATGATGACTAGGGAATCGACTGATCGAGAGGGTGCATTGTGATAGATCGGTGGTATAGTGTTGGACATCGGAGACTTGGATTGGACTCGGCAGGATGTGAGTAGATGGATGGAAACGTGGACTTGGCATTGTAATAGTATTGGTATATGATGGATAAAAGCAGCTGTGCGCACAAGACATAATAGACCTGGCACTGAGGAGTTCTTGTATAGAGAATGGTATCTCGCCGCCAATCTGCGCCATACTAGGAACTGGATCGGACTGGATGGATGGAATGGATGCGATCGGAGTGGAGGATTGACTAGGATGGATGGCACGATGGTATTCGAGATGCGCATGGATGGATGGATGGACTAGATGGAGGCCTTGGGACACTTAGTGCACAGAAGTGGAGTGATGATGGGATGGACTTGGCACTGGATTAGGGTGGGTGGATGGCCATGCGCCTAGGCGATTCGCTGAAGGGCTCGTTCAATATTAGAAAAACGCTCCACAAACATACCGAGCGTCTGTGGGATGTCCCCCTGCCATCACCAAATGGATTGGATGGACGATAACGATTCATGATGTCCAGAACCTATTGGCAAGATCAGGATGGGCTCTACGCGACTCTGGACATGGATTCGCTAAGGCGTCTATTCAATGTAATATGAAAAGAGCTTCAACATCGTGATGAAGTCGGCTGATGGGAACACAGGACCACCGAGTCTGTATGGCAAGCCCTTCAGCTCGATATAAGGCCTCGTGACTAGGATACAAGGAGCGATGCGATGACTCGCGATAGGAAAGCCTGAGTGAGTTAAAAGTGGCAACCCAGATTAATTTAGTGAGCCTTCCGACGAGGATTTTGGTGATGGTGGTGGTAACGATGTGTGGAGGATAGATGACGAATAGGTAATCGAATCAGGAGGTGGATGACGGATGGACGTAGTATTATGTGTAGCGGGGCTAGGCGGCGGATTGCAAGGCGATGAGTCATATACAAAGATTGCTTCTCCGACGGCCGGATTCGGCGAAGAACGACGGTCCGCTTCAGACTCATAGATACCGTGTCATAACAGACTACTAACGGAACAGTTTTCACATGAAGGCGGAGCGGCTTGTCGTTGCTCTGGCTGGTGTGTACACGCGCTCGGCTTACAGTAACAGTCATTTGATTTATGGTGATTGATGCATTGCGATAGCGCTCACGGAAGCGTTCATTCCGTCCTGTTTGAGCGGCGGAACGAAAACGCAGATGCGATCTGTTTTTATGTTTGTTATAGCAGTCTGTAGCAAGAGCAAGGCGGGGTCTAGAACTTGATTTAGCCTATTGCTATCATCGGCAAAGCGCAATTCTATATTCTGTAACCACATAGGATTAGTGGGAGTTTGCCTGTTTTCCGCCCGCTCACCTCAATGCTATCACCAACGTCATCGGCTGGCGTCAATAGCTGATGCTCACGGCCCGGCGGACGGAGCTGCAGTGCGGCGGAAGAGGAAGGTTTTTGCGGCTAAACGTTAGTCAGCGTGATTGATAGATAGCTTTAATGACAATTTCATTTTCATTCAAAGGGCCCACCGCGGCTTTCTGGGGTGTGTATCCGTCTTCGCGGCGGGGGGTAGTTCGCTGGACGGGGAGATGACGGGGAGCGAGCCTCATAGGAAAACACTCACCGAGCAGTGCGTTGAACTCGCGAACACCCCGGTCTATTAAAGAATGGAGTTAGATGGAACTGAGGATGATGCGATGATTAGGATGGATCTCTGATTTGATTATTATTGGTAGACTATGAAGCGATCCGACGTGAGATGCTCGATTGGATGATCCGATAGTTGCGGCATGATGGATGGACTGTGGGCAGGTAAGACTACTATAGGGCGTTATCGATTTTACATTATTTGTGAATGGTGAATGATGGAGTGGCGAAGACATGACGGCAACTTGACGACGACACGACGCATTGATGGATGATGAATGGAATTAAGGATAGGATAAATATTGGAGTATGGAGAATTGCGGCGAAAGATGGATGATATGGTCGATAATGGTAAAAGTGATAATGCACATAGAATAAATAACATAGATCTTGTTTATTTTAGTAAAGGTTTGTAGCGTGTTCGGTTCGTGTCCGCCTATATCTAACCAGCGACGCAGAAAGACGGGCTGATTGAGGGCACGAACGTATAGATGCGGCCTGTGGCCCGGCGTCCATTGCATAACTATTAGTCGCCCGTGGTACGGCTCTCAAGTAAGCCTTGCCAGCAAGCAGCGCAGCGGTGGTGTGTGTGTGTGTGTGTGTGTGTGTGTGTGTGTGTGTGTGTGTGTGTGTGTGTGTGTGTGCGTGTGTGTTTGTTCGTCACTCTCGTACATGTAGTACATGTCGTAGATAGGTAGGCGCGCTCATTATGCTCGCGGTACTCCCAGTGATCTCTATAATTTTATTACAGAGATCAGTGGGTACTCCAGTCCAAGGAGCTAAATATAACTATTTATTTTTATTTAGCTGTTATTTTATTTTATTTTATTAGCTGTTTATTTTATTTGTTATATTTAGCTCCTTACTCCAGTCAAGTCCATTGTACGCGCGCCCTCTGTTGTCGACAAAACATGTTAACTATATTCTCTTACACTACAGCGTATGTACACCGGAATTCTATTGAATGGAATGTTTTCGTATATGAGGTCTCATATCCTCCTTACTTTGGCTATATTCTAAAATACAGAGCCAATCAACCGCATACCTACAGCAGTGAACTAAGAACGCTCAATTTACACACGCACGCACACACGCGCACGCACGCACACACACACACACACACGCGCGCGCACACACACACACACACCAGGGGCGTAGCCAGCCTAAAAAAAAGTGTGTGGGAGGGGGTTCTTATTACAACAGCAGTGGAACTTTATACTATCGAAACATAGGAACAAATACACAAACATATAACCATAACATTAAACATACACAATGCTAAATTAATTATTTCTTACTTCATTCTCACTATACTGCGGGAATGATACATATACGTGTACTGGATAATTATCGTGTAATTAATGAGTCTAGCTCCAGACGTCTGGAGTGTTGTCTGGAGTACATGTTGACAACTTTGTCTAGATCCATTGGATGATCATAATGAATGTGGAGAAGAATGCGCGTTTAGCGGCGTCTACACTATGCTAAAACCCGGGTTTACCGCATCTCCACTGTTGCTAAAACGCAGGTTTTAGAGGTGGGTTTTGTAAAAACGCGGGTTTTACAGACCCGGCAATATTGCCGGGTTTTGCTCTGCTAAAACCCGCGTTTTAGTCGAGCGCCGTAGTGTAGACAGAACATGACAGAAAACCCGCGTTTTAGCTATGTATCCCACCACTCAGTACTAGATGGGTGCATTCACGGAAGGTGGGTTTTTGACAGTGTAGACGCTGCACCACCAAAAACGCGCGTTTTACTAAAACGCGGGTTTTAAAAACCCGGGTTTTAGTCTATAGTGTAGACACTGCACCACCGAAAACGCGCGTTTTACTAAAACGCGGGTTTTAAAAACCCGGGTTTTAGTCTATAGTGTGTTGCCGCTAAATATTGTCGGGTTTTGCTCTGCTAAAACCCGCGTTTTAGTCGAGCGCCGTAGTGTAGACAGAACATGACAGAAACCCCGCGTTTTAGCTGCACGCCAGACTCGGCTACAGGTGGCGCAACCATACCGGGGATATGCTTGATACAACCGAAATACTTAAAACCCGGCATTGACGGAAGGTGGGTTTTTGACAGTGTAGACGCTGTATCACCGAAAACGCGCGTTTTAAAAACCCGGGATTTAGTCTATAGTGTAGACGCCGCTTTTGTGTGTGTGCGTGTGTGTTTGCGTGTGCGTGTGGGGTGTACGTACGTATGAATGCGTGCATAAGTGGTGGGACGCGTGCAGACGTTTGCGCGTGTAATACATACATGTATATGGAGAATCCCTTCTTTTTATAGCTGTTTCTCGAATGTCGGAAGAACTGGTGGCGCGCAGGAGCTGGGGCTCACCTCTTACTGCATCAATCGCTACGGCAGTATCATCCACGAATTTCTACACGCTCTAGGCTTCCACCATCAGCACAGCACACACGACAGAGATAACTGGGTGGAAATTATCTGGGACAACATTGAACCAGGTAACGGTTGCTATCCCAGACACGATAGTTGGTGAACAGATAGCGGTTGCTAGGCCAGACACGATAGTTGGTGAACAGGTAGCGGTTGTAACGACAGGAACACTGACGGCGTCATGAATACGAACTTTCCCACTGCTACCCCCTTCATGTTGACAAACTTTCCCGCCGCAGCTACATTCACGCTCTCAATCCACGTACTGCTACCGTACTGCCCGTTGCCGCTGCATGAATCTTACAAACCCAGCTACACATTCCGCCCCTCGTCCTACTTTAGCAGAACCCCCCGCGTGCTGGTATTACACACTATTTATGTGGTGTAGTTAGCGTATTATAATATCAAGAGTGGATAATAGACTCTATAATTCACTCCTGATAATATGTAGGTACAATAGAATGCATTACGTCTGGAATAATATCCCGGTAGTATAGTAGTATATAGTAGTAGTGACACGTGCGTAGTGTACATAGTGTAATCGTACGCAACACGTCGAATATGGCACGACTAGAGTTTATTCTTCACCAGGGTTTGAGCACAACTTCAAAAAGTACGACGTGGCTACGGTGACGCAGTTTAGCGAGATGTACGACTACTACTCGATAATGCACTACAGCGCCTACGCCTTCACCTCCAATGGCAAGCCAACCATCAAACCGCTGCAGGAGATTGGATACGAAATCGGACAACGAGACGGCTTCTCCTATACCGACATCGCCAAGCTAAACGCAATGTACGGTTGTCGTATTCCCGCTTAGTATAGCCTACACCTCTCGCGGGTCATAAATGCATCTCTCTATAAATCGATGATGATCACGTACACCTATCTATATACCTATGATAATCAATCGCACAGCAGCCTATAAATCTGTGCTAGTCACATGATCACACCCCTGTCTCTATAAAGCAAAAATAATCACACGCTTGCCTATAACGCCGTGATCATGAGCATATATGTTTTTAGTGAGCCACAATAACGATGAATTTGCGTTGAACGTTGATTAATAGGTAGTAATACCTGCAAACCCGTGACAACGACAGCACGATTGGCGCTTATAAAGCATCCACGTACCATTTTGTAATAATTATGATAAATTATTAAAAGAAACATGATTGAAATTGATAGTAAATAAGTTCTATGGTTACTGTTATGTGTGATTATAGTCACCGTTTCACGCGGGTTTGGTTTATGTAAATGATGGTTTTGCTGCGAATATACAAAAATAAACACATACATTAATTACTGATGCAAAATCATTGGATATGCATGTCATTCTATGCGTGAGGAGGCGTTCGTATGGCTAAATATAATACTATTATTGATCCACTATTACACATAATATTACCAATACAAATTATTACATGCAAATTTATATAAGGTAATAGGAATGTGATGGAAGGGCGCCTATAGTCAGAGGTTAAAGTGGAAATGCATACCCTAGGCCTATGGGTTATCGTACCTATACTGTATGGAAGTGGGTGACAACTGCCTGAATTGTACATTTATCTGGCATAGTCCTTTTGAAGTTGGCACTAAAATTCCGCCCTCCACCACATTTTCTGCATGAAAAGAACATTTTGAACGTAGTTAAAACCCTAATCTCAGCATGGACGGATGGAGCTTTCGCTATGTATATACGATACGATAATTTTTCGTAGCCAATCCCTTTATTCTAAACACAACGATTAATACCACAAATATATCTGTACTGATACAAATACGTTATAATGGTAAGGCGTAAATCGTGACACCGTCAACCATCGTGTGACGCCAAGAAAACCACGAATTTCAAAACCAAATCTAACGGTGACAATATTAATTCTACTGCAGTTATAACAATGCAGTTATTCGTCGAACCTTGGAATAATCATTCTGACTGATTACTTCAAGGTCGAACGAAACGTCACCATTTATGGCATATAGGGTTGGCACTATATAACACCTACCGATACTTATCACGCCGGGAGTGACCAGTGGAAATGTGAAATTTTTGAAGTGTGGTCAGTGAGCACAACAATAATCTTAAAAGATTTGTTTCATATTATCAGAATTCATACCTCAAAATTTTCTACAAATAATATATCGCTGTATAGGATTACGACGAGGCTCGGGTAGTGAGTAATCTTGACTTTGTTTTCAAAGTCAGAAATAAGGGGATAGAATGCCGAGTGAACATTTTTCATGCCACAATCACACGTCCCAGCGCCATTTTTTATGTCCATTAGCATGAGTGGGTAATGGTGGCGCGATCCTGCGACCAAAGTGAATTTTGTAAATCGGATTTAACCATGCACACGTGCCGTCGGCCCGACCGTGTCCAGTTTGAACGTATGATGAGCTCGGCCAAAGAAAATTATTTTGGTTATCAGCGGCGACCGACGTCACCAGCGCCATTCCTATGTAAATTAGCATTGGTGGAAACAAGGTAAATTAGCATAGGTCGTCAGAAAAGCATTGTCTTGTGCACACTATTTTACAGTATGCACGCAAATTAGGTGCCTCGTAGACGTCTAGAAAGCATTAGAAAGAAGATTGGTCTTGTCGTGTAATTGTACCATTCCAGCAAGTGGCGTAGTCATGGTCACCGGTCAGCCATTTTTGTGTATGAAACGGGATCCGAATACTTTATAGAAATACGCGCGTTATAGAGCTGGCAAAAGTTTCGAGCGGAGCATACCACGCTTGAATCTGTTGTTATTTAACATGAATAAAGTGTATGTTGTGTATGCGACGAAACAGTGTGAGTATTTTTAATTAATTTCTGTTCATGTGGTTATGAGGATGCGTAGTCAGGCCTGCTGCCTATGAACGCCTAGCTTCTACTGTTGTACAACACCTATATAATAATTATATTATTAAAACAATAGCATAAGGCTTTCACGTAAGCTTCCATACTGCAAATAACGTGAATTGATAGCTTCAAAATAAGTAGGTTAAACGTTAACATTTTTATTATATATTTAAACGAGACTGAAAGCTAGACCTTTTCCAGTCAGTTTCGGTTCGTTCCGGTGTTTTTGTTTGTATATATCGATGTCAGCACCAAGGAGCTATATTATACAAGATTGTACAATATGTATNAAGCCCGCCGCACACGGTGAACTATCTGCTGATCCAACGACCTCAAGAGGCCGTTGGCTCAGCAGATAGTTCAGCGTGTGCATGCAGATTCTGCCCGATTTTTGGCCTCGCGTGGCTGTGAGACCGATATCTATCGTGTTTGATATTTGTGGCCACGCGAGGCCAGAAACTCAGCGTGTGCGGGCTCCGTGAGCTATCAGCTCAGCCACAAATATTTACCAACCAATGAAAGCGCAGGAATAGGGCATGTGATTTAAAATGTCGGCGCCCACGGAACATGTTCAGGGCCTTCAAATCGAAGACAAATTAATTGAAATTTGGCCAGACTATCCTTGTTTATATGATGTTCGCTCCCCTGAATTTAAAAACTGCGATAAAGGTCAGCAATCACTAGAGGAGATTGCGGAGAAACTGTCCCAAACTGGTATGTACAAAAAATTTCATTAGTCTGCTTAGATGTATTCGGCTAAAACACAATCAGGATGTACACTAGCCACAAGTTACCTTCTCGCATATCACTACATTGCGAGAAGTATTATGCCTATAGCGATGTTTCATGTTTATAAACATTGACGTCATATGCGCACATGCAAAGTTTAACGGTTCAATGGCAGCAAGCAGATGCGTGATATTGTTCGATACAAGCGTACGTGCACACGCACACACACACACTGTCACTCATGCACGCACGTGTACGTGCACACGCACGCACGCACTCAGGTCTACGTGCACATGCACACGCGTGCACATGCACACGCGCGTGTACGTGCACACACACGAACGCACGCACGCATGCACGCACGTGTACGCGCACACGAACGCACGCACGCGTGCACGCACGTGTACGTGCACACGCACGCACGCACGCACGAACGTGTACCTGCACACGCCCGCATGCACGCACGCGCGTGTACGTGCACACGCACGCAGGCACGCATGCACGCACGTGTACGTGCACACGCACGCACGCACGCACGCACGCACGCACGCATGCACGCACGCACACACACATACACACATATACATGCATATCAGTTGCTAAACACCGTAGGGTTACGGATAGTCTCTCGCCAGGGTTGATGCTGTTCTGCATAATGGTGTTTTTCCTTTGAATTATTGGACCCACCATTGCCAAAACCCACCCATCCTGGAAGTGATGAATATCCAGGCGATGGAACTGTCTAAATGTTTCCGGGTCCTCACATCTCACTTCTTGTGAGAGAGTGGCATTAACGCCTCGTTTCTCCGTTCTCTGCAACCATTCCCTCGTCCAAATGTAACGTGTTGACGTTGACGCTGTTCGTTGACGTCGAACACGTCGAATTAATAACAGGAAAAGTAGAGCTTTTTGCTGTTCCGTGAACGCCGACATTTTAAATCACATGCCCTATTATTTCTTCGCTTTTATTGGTAAATATTTGTGGCTGATAGCTCACGCAGCCCGCACACGCTGAGTTTCTGGCCTCGCGTGACCACACATATCATAACACGCCAGGGGATGTACGCCACCAGATGGCGCTGTTCATTTAGCACTATATCAGAAATTCTTCAGGACCTCATGTAGTACGCTGTGCAAAGTTTCACAGTTCTAACTAAAAGTGCACAATCCATGTGCTTATCCTCTGGACTACTAGTCTGTATTCAGCCTACCTTTTACCATTACTTGTGGGCATTATCTTAGCGGGTCGGCTGTCGTGATATTGCGTCTATTTGCATATCTGCATCTATATATCTGTCGATCTATCTCATCTTCTTTTTCCCCTCTCTCTATATATAATATATATCGGTACTAAATTTGCGAGTGTGGGTCTAGATATGAGTCGTAATAGTGTGGTTCACGCTTGTGATATTTATCCATGGCTCACCTAACTAATATGTGAGAGAATATACGAAGATGTTTAAAGAGAAGAAGAGTTTTGGAATTATTAAAGAGACGAAGAAACGCTGCTATTTCTGTGAAATAAAATAAATAACATATTTAATAATCAATATTTACAAAATCGCTTCCATCATCTCTATAAAATGCCTAGTATAAGTTAATACGCCTGCACGCGCGGTACTGAGATTGTACTCTAACGTTCTACCCATTATGAGCATCTCAATTGAAATCGGTACTTATCTATATTTACACTAATATATACATGAACGTATAGTTTCTTTTAACACAGAAGATAGCATTCGTAAAACGATAGATGGCCGGCTAGATTCAGTCCACTCACTCATACAGTCAAACCTCTGTTACTGGAAACCTTTATAGAACGGACACCTGTCTATAAAGGACACGATACAATTTTCTTTTGAATGACACATATATATATATATATATATATATGTGTGTTTGACCGCAGTACTGGTCGGGCCATATAGCGAGTGAAGTGAATTTAATGTTCGATTTGAACTCGACCTCTTTGCATATATGACCATATCTGGCTCATGATGGAATTCGCATATTCTGTGCGGCAGGCATTCTCAAACACGAATAACGTTTGCCATTCCATGATTTCTCTTCTATAGTGGCGCGCGTGACTTTGTCGTTGACTTTGTCTATATCTATGGCGATATAGACCAAGAAACGCGCCTGATGCCTCAACTTATCATTTCCATCATGCTTCGTGCGAAACCACATCACATCTTTCCCACGCCTTGAATCGTATACGAATATTTTTTAATGTAAAACACTGACGTGCAAACGCAGCAACGAAGCAAAAATCCACGATGATAAACGGTCTGATATAGTAGTATAGGCCTACTGTAACCTATTATACAGCTCTTGCGCGCGCTAGCGGCGTGTAGCGCTCGTCTCTCTCTCTCTTCTCTCTCTCCCCCCGCTCTCTCTTCGCCGCTCTCTCTCTTTTCCTCTCTCTCTGCTTGCTCTTATCTCTCTCTCTCACTTCGTCCATCCCCTCTCCCT